GAGCGATAATAGAAAAGTTGGCCGAGGACGAGGAGGTCGTGTTTTCCTTCCCTCTACCTTCCTCCACGAATCTGCAAACGTTGAACAATTTAGATTCGATCGAGACGGCGAGACCCAGCTCCCCGGAGGAGTTGTTGGAATCTACTACTACGGATGTTCCAGAAGCTATCGATACGGAGACGGAAACCGAGACCGGTTCCGATAGTTCTGAAATGTCGAGCATGACGAACGTACGCCTCGGTGGATGCGACGATGACGCTGCTTCCGACCAGATATCCTGTCAAGAGAGCGAGTCCATTTGTTGCGTCGATATTAATCCGGAGATCATATCGAGGTTGGAGCCGGAGAGACCGGAAGCTTTCACCGAAGATTCAGCGGAAAGTTTGGCCCTTGCCACCGGTGCACGAGACGAGGTTAGATCGGATGGAAGCGATTCTGGCCTGGGAAGCGAGATTCCTGGTGATCCAGGGCCCGCACCAGTACCGGAAAGCGATTCCGAGACTTCTTTCTTAGATAGGATACCAGATGATATACTTTCCGACAAAGAAAAAGGTAATTGAACGATATTATTCTCTCTATAATTTTCCCTTCCATTCGTATTTTTTTTAAAGTTTAGAGCAACGTGTTTATAATAAATACGTTAATTTTTGTTGAAGCAAGAACGTGATTAAGGAATACAAAATATGACGTTCTCTTTCAGCAGTGAATCAATTGGATAGCTTTGCGCCGAACGTGGATGTATCCGACACGCCACAGACGCCATTGACGAATTTTCGTAGTCCTTCGAAGAGTAATCTGAAACGAAGATTGATGGATTGTATGGAAGGGGTTCCTAGCCCAAAGAGAAGCAATACGGACGAATCCATGAAAAAGAAACGCAATATTCAGTTCGACGCAGTCACGGTTTATTATTTTCCCAGGGCACAAGGTTTTACTTGTGTACCTTCTCAGGTACATGCGATATAGATTCTATTTCGTTATAAATTTTACATAGACTATATCCGCATTGTACGTATTAATGGTATATAGTACATACGAATATAGCATGCTAAATCGATTTATCCTTCTCAGGGTGGCAGCACTCTTGGCATGAGCGCAACGCACACTCATGCTGAACGATTCTCGTTATCGGAGCATGCCGCTGAACAGAGGCGAATTCATCGTGCTAGACTAGCTCAATTACGCTCCGAGCGTGCTGCAAATTGCGTATCGGAAGCAGCCTCCAGTTCTGAGGATCCTAGCGATGATACAGACGAGGAACAAAGTGATAACGAGGATCTGGATATCGATAGTTATTACTTTTTGCAACCAGTGCCTACATGGCAGAGACGAGCTTTACTTAGAGCAGCAGGAGTACGTAGAATAGACGCGGTCGAGAAGGACGAGTGCCGCGATATTAGAGCTAGCAGAGAACATTGTGGTTGCGGGTGTAAAGGATACTGCGATCCTGAGAGTTGTCCTTGTAGTCGAGCTAATGTAAAGTGCCAGGTTGGTAGATGAACATTATACGATAAAGAATTTTTTTTATCAAAAAACAAGTAAATGACGCGATTGTGTGTTAATAGGTTGATAGAGCGGGTTTCCCTTGCGGATGTACTCGCGATGGTTGTGCAAATAGTTCAGGCAGGATCGAGTTTAATCCAGTACGAGTACGAACGCATTTCATTCACACGTTAATGCGGTTAGAGTTAGAAAAAAAGCAACGAGAAGAAGAAGAAGGCGCGGATCATGACGCTTCCGACAATCAAAACGGTAGAAGTCCGTTAAGAGAAATCAATTTAGGATCCGTGATGGAGAATAGGACCACGGAATCATGTTTGAATGGTGGTGGATTTACGACGTTGCATTATGAGAATCACGATGCCAGAGACGGCGGGACAAATTGTCAGCCAGAAGTATCTGGTACTAGAGAGGATAGCCTGGATTTGTATGCGATTAGAGATGATTGTTATCCTAGCGAAGATACTGTTGATGGTACGCAGGGACCTCAAAGGAAACTTCATCCTGAATTTAGTCAAGCTTTTCAAACATTCTCAGGCCAAACAAGTGCCGGAGTAAACTTTCAACAACCTGCTTATCAGGATTATCAGCCTTACGCTAACCTCCCTTCCACATCTAGGGTGCAATTTCAGCCGCAATTCCAAACGGTGCCAGGAAATGCAGGGTTCTCACATTATGCGCCTTACGGACAAGATACCGGATCAATTCAGGGGAACTGCCAGGTCCATCCCGGACAACATTCTTCCAGCTATGAAACTAGTTTTGCGCAAGATGAAACAACCGGATCACAATATACAAATTTAAATTCGGTACAACCAATGAATACTGTGGTTCAACAGATGGGTAAACTAGAACCATTCTCTGAACTTTTGTCTGGTAGATATTCGTATTACGGTGAAATGGAGCCTCAGCCGCACAGTACTTATCACGGTAATGGAACCAAGGTTGAGGTAGAAAAGAACCAAGCTAACGAACAGCAATCGGAAAGTACAGAGGAGTGCGATGAAAATTTTGGGGAAATCATAAAAAAATCAATGGTTGAGACTGTATCCGCTTAGGTCAAACTGTAGATACAAAGAATTGTCTATGTGCAAGTCCGTCAAAACGTTTTTGACCCATAGTGATTTATAATGAAAAATAGAGTAATTTCGACAAGTTTTCGTCGGAAACCTCGCGAATAAAAGAAAAAAAAAAAAAAAAAAAGGAAAAAATAATAATAAAAAATAAAAAAGAAGAAGTATCCCGATAAGAAGGTACTGGAATTTTAACCAGTTATCCTTCCATGCGTTAGATAAATCTGAGTAAATTGTTTATGTGGTTTTCGAACAGAACAAATGTTCTCCTCGAGAATCACTCGCGGTTAACTACGACGAGTCCCGTGGATGTCGTTAGAAAAATTACGCGGATACGTGTGCGTCCGCCCGGGATGGAGCTTTGAGACATCGTCCTTGTTCCTTTATTATAAAATCATCGATTGTGTAATTGATTGAATGGATAAGACGATGTTCTCGATAAACGTGAAGAGAATCCAGGGCCGCCAATTCGGTGAAGGATTTTCGAGGAAAGGTCTTCGTCGAAAATCTTCATGAACAGTCTCCTTGAACCGACAAGAATTCTGTACAATTACAGAATAAATTCAACGAGGTTGTGACCAAGAAACAACATATGGGATCAGCTTAGATTGCAGTTTATAATACTTAACTTTAATACTTTAATCGTAGGGACGCGGGTCTCGCGTCTTTTTAAAAAAAAAGAATAAAACAAGTTTTCGAATCCGTGTGACAGCGGCGATGGCGAAAAACTTAATATTTAATTGCGACAGCGAAATCGAAAGGTATTCGCATTGCTGATCAGGAAGAAAAAAAGAAAAAAAAAAAAAAAAAGGCATATGCATGTACACACAAAACACATTTATATTACGACCACGAAATATAAGCGATTGTGATACCCGTGCATATGAAAATACAATTTGCCAGGATCGTAGATTAAGAAAATAAATTATGGGACTTTTTTATGCCAGTTAGTAAGGGATCGAGTTTGAATGGTTTTTCAATCAACGGATGATGATAAAAAGATAGAGACTTGATACTTTTTCGTGTTGTAATGAATGCACGCGCATTGGGATTACATATGGATGTACATGTTTCGAATGTTAGGAAGACCATAGTTGGTTGGCATATGAAGCGCACGCTGTCTACAGAACACATAATATTTAAGCCCTCGTATATTTTTCTCATTTTTTTATATGATACCTTGAAATTGCATTCCCTTTTTAATATTCACGCACATTCTACAAAGATGTAACAAAGAGTGAATTTTTTTTGTGTGAAAAAATATAGATTTTTTTTTTTTTTTTATATTAAGAATTCTCATGTCTTTTCTTGGTTTGATCAATGGCTCAATTTCAATCATTGCAATTTCAAGGTTAATCGTTAACATGAACAAAATAAAAAACAAATCTGCGCGAAGTTTTTTAATTTTTTCAAAAACTATAGTAAACAAAGTCTAATGGTAAATATATCATATTCAGATATTCTTTTGCACACCCATTGTTACTCACCTTGTAGATTTTCAGACACAGACCTCTTTAGCATCCCGGGACGTTGATCGCTATACCCACGATTAATTGAAATATTACACATAAGAAAACAATGATAACGACGCTAGTATTAAATTTATACATACTTATTGGACGTGTCAGCTCCCAAGCACTTTTGACGATCTTCTATTTCCGTGTTTTACACTGTGTTCATCGTCGCTGATTGGTGCCTAAAATCGTTACGTTTGTTGTCAGTGTACAATGATAACGAAATCTCATTTTCGAAAATAGAAGAAACGAGAGAGAGACGTAGATTTAAAGAGTTAAGATGTTGCGAGGGATGTGACACCTCCGTATAACATAAATATACATATAAACTACACGTATGTAAGTAACTTTTAGAGTATTTGAGTAAAAAAAGGCATACATAGTTGATAGCGTTTTATTAAATGTTGTGAAAAAGTCTCTTGTCTGTCGTGTAATGTGTTGTCTTATTATGTGTGCGTCTTTTTGTTCTTTGTTATTTCGTCCTTTTATATTCATGATACCATCCTTCAATTCCTTCATTTGTTACGTTGGAAATAGTTGGCAAAAACTCATGTTTTATGTGATTCTTTTCTATGTATTGTACCTTAATCCGTATTACGATTCTGTCATATAAGTCATGTTAATTGCATAGGATATCCGGTAATATTCACATAACGTTATGCAAAAATATTCTTTCTACATTTAATATACTTGTTCTTATTTATTGCGATAATATGCGATTAAAAGACACTAACGTGTATTTATTATTATTCATATGAACGAGGTGAGAAGTCTTACGAAATATTAGAAATTAGTATTATAGTAATCTAAATATCTACATAAATTTTAATACGTTTTTATAACGAAAATTTAAATAACCCGCTAAATAATTCAAATTATGTGTCTGAAATTGTAGATGCGCGCGCACGCTTAGTTTCAATATGGCGTCCATAGCGGGAATCCTGTACGTGTCGCGGTGGTGTTTTTTCTCATTATTTTTCGAAATATAAATCATATTCGAAAGCGCGAGTGCACAAACGATCAGTTTTTAAAACGGTAATTCATGTGATGTTCTACGTGGCAAACTAATTTGATTCTAAATGACTCGTTTCTTCTTCCTGTTCGTATGTCGCGAGGAGTGGGGACGACGCGATGGAAGGGAAAGCACTAGTAGTTCTTGAGTTGAGTGCCTCTGGAAGTAAGCGCTTGCCCGTGAGCCTGTACGGTAGTTCGATTGGTGCGGTGAATTTATTATTCGACTTTTTTTCTTCTTGTTCGATCGTTGAAACGCGAAAATAAGAGATCGAGTTAGATTCGATGTGTGGTGCGAGATTCGTGTTCATGGCGTAGTTCAAAAATTCGCGACGCTTTCGTGAGAACAGTTAACACGACGGCGTGCTAGTGTCGTTGACGTTTCGTGTGTCAGTGTCCTCTCTCTTTCTTTCTCTCTCTTACGCTTGCCCTTTCTCGATTCGGTCTTTTTCTATCTCGTCCCTTCTATATACGTTAACCATTGTATCACAAGTCGCGTCGTTGCTGCAATGTCAGATGACAGGTGCGAGGCGCTATCATTAGTGTATATTAACGAGTCCTTCGAGTGTCCTGCGAATTTAGGATATGCTGCAGAATGACGAGTGCAAGGTTGTTCTACCGGAAGGGCGGCGAAGAGGACCGAAGACGACGACCACGACGACGATCTCGAATTCCCTCGCGCTAGCGGTGGGCTATGAGCGCTGACAATGGGGACGACTCCTTGGTAATTATCATACCTTTCTCTTTTTTATTACTCCCTCCTGTTTTGTCTCTCTGTCTGTTTCGTGTTTGTATTGCGGACAGTGAAATATGCAGGTTGACAGAGCGCGGTTTTGTCGTGCGGAAATAATCGTTGATTTGAAAGCTCGTTCTTTCTCTTTCTTATTTCTTCTCTCTCGTTTAACGTAACGCGGTCACGAAGGAAATATTCCTATTGGCGGGAATATTCTTAAGAGAACATATGTATTTCACTTTCGTGTCAATGATAAAACGTTTTGATCGCGTATTAAAAAAATTATAAAACATTTGAGAGAAGGAACATTCCTTATCGTAATTTTTTTTACGTAATCAATGAAACAGGAAATAAAATGTTTAAATAACAATCATGAAATTGCACGATTGCGTCGTCGGCGTGAATCGATTTCGATTCACTTTATACGTAACGAGTTTCAATCTTTTGACAATTATTAATTATGCTGACTAATCGGCTCGCGTGAGACTTTAAACACGAAACATTCGATAGTTTCGAAGAATGAATTTAATAAGTTTAGCAAACATTTATCATAATTTAATCTTATATGAGAGTTACGTTATTACCAGTAATTTTCATCGTGATGAAATACGAGTTCCAAAGCAATTAAAAAAAGGACTCGTAGATCATAGATCTTTATTACATCGTTTAACGTTAATTGCTAATAACTTGGATGCTGTCACGTGTTTCTGGACCACGTGATCCGAATGGACAGTCTCATCTGTACCGAGTAAAAGTAATTTCTTGCGGTTAGCGTTACTTCTTGCTCGATGGTCATAGTTGTGAAATCCGCTTTACGTTTCGTAAGCTCGGTTAGCCACGGGACAAAATGGGACGAGTGTAGAATATGATTTTCGATCGGGACATCGTCTAAAACGAGTTCTCTACATTCTGTAAGAATCGTTTTTGATATCACACGTATCTCCCTTGTTTTTCTTTCTCTTATTATGATTTTATTCGAGGATTCTTGTCCAAAGATAATCTCTTGTTCGGATTTCGTTGACCTTTGTTCTTCTGCCTCGTGGACGCAATCGTAATGCAGCGAATAGCTTGTACTTGGATGGAACACGTTCAATAACTCGAGAGTCAATGAAACTCGCGCACGCCTCGCGCACGCGAAGGTATGCTTACTATCGAGGGATGTCGTTCTGTTTATGTTAGAAATTATTCGGTCGACCATATCGCTCTCGTATATTACGCATATGCTCTTTGCTTCATAACTCCAGTTCGAAATTGATTTTAGGCCATTTATTTTTATCATTGTTATTATTATTTCTATCGCTATTGTTACTATATCCGACGATTATAGCCTTGCTTGTGCTATGAAGAAATTAGATTCAAAACATTAGTTATTCTCTTCGGTTGAACACTCCACGAGTGTTGTCTTCTGCAAAGTTTCCTTCTCGATTAAAAATTCCACGATCGCGTTAATCCTTTACCAGTTCTTGGTCGATGAGAAAGGCAGGACGGTATAACGCTTATGAGAATGCAAAGTAATACGTGTCAAGTCTAACGAGGCGCGTCGCGGAATGCAGGAGGCGAGAAAGAAGTGCGGGTTTTGCGAATGTACAACTTTTTCATAGATACAAGGTGTTCTACAAAACATTCATAACTTGGTTGTTTAAAAACCGATTTTTCTGCAAAAAAAATTAATCCATGACATACTGAACTAAATTTAACCCATTAAATCTTGAATAAACAAACACAGAAAATCTCGAGTGAAAATTTTTACAATAATTTATATAATATATATATGTATATATGTAAAATTTTACAATATAGAGATCTATTTCGTCTATTAATTCTCTCGTATCTAGAATAATCGTACGATTATGTTTGAAATTAGAGACATATTAGAAAATTAAATAAAATTTTCAAAAATATCGAAATATCGTATATCCTTAAAACTTTGAACAAAAATGTATACGTTTAACGTTCTTGCAAGTGATCGTAATAGAAAAAAAAAAAAAAATGGAAGAGAAAGTTACGTTAGTTTTTATACGCAATAT